CAATCACCAAACACCAGACACCAAACACCAAGCACTAAGCACCAAACCCACGCACCAAGAACCACCAAACAAGTAGTTCCAAACACGACACACCAAGCACCAAGCACCAAAACCAAAACACCAAACAACACACGCCAAACACCATACACCAAACACCGAACACCAGACACCGCACCAGACACCAAACACCGAACACCAGACACCGAACACCAGACACCGAACACCAGACACCAAACACCGAACACCAGACAAAGAACACCAGACACCACCCCCCAGACACCACACCCCAATAGCAGAAGTAGAAGTAGTAGTCTTAGTAATATGAGTAGTAGTAGTAGTAGTAGTAGTAGTAGTAGTAGTAGTAGTTGTTGTTGTAGTTGTAGTAGTAGTAGTAGTAGTAGTAGTAGTAGTAGTAGCAGTAGTAGCAGTAGTAGTAGTAGTGGTACTAGTCGTCGCCGGGGTATTACTAATGGTTTTAATAGTAGTAGCCGTAGTAGTTGTAGTAGTGGTGGTACAAATAATAGTATAGTAGCAGTAGTTTTAGTTTTAGGCTTAGTAGTAGTAGGAGTAGTAGTAGTAGTCGTCGTCGAAGGAGTACTAGTCGAGTAGTAAAAAGTAGTGGTAGCAGCAGTAGTTGTAGTAGAAGTAGTAGTAGTAGTAGTAGTAGTAGCAGTAGCAGTAGTAGTGGTGACAGTGATTCAAGTAGGAACAGTAGTAGTAGTAGTAGTAGTAGTAGAAGCCGTTGTTAGAAGTAGTAATAGTAGTGGTAACACTAGCAGTTGTTGTTGATGTCATGTTCTTGTAGTAGTAGCTGTAGTAGTAGATGTAGCAGTGGGAAAATGTAGTAGCTAGAACTACAATGGTGGTCGTAGTAGTGGTAGCGGTAGTAGTAATAGCCGTGGTGGTGGTAGTAGTCGGAGAATTAGCAGACGTGGTAGTAGTCGTAGAAATAGCAGTAGTAGCAGTAGTAGCGATGGTGGTAGTAACCCTAGTAGTCGTAGTAGTAATACAAGTAGTAGTCGCAGTCGTAGTAGTAGTAGTAGTAGTAGTCGTTGTCATACTGGTAACAAGAAAAGTAGCAGTAGAAGTAGCAGTGGTCGTAGTTAGTAGTAGTAGTAGTAGTAGTAGTAGTAGTAGTAGTAGTAGTCGTAGTAGTAGTAGTAGTAGTAGTAGTAGTAGTAGTAGTAGTAGTGCCAGTAGTAGTGATAACAGTAGTAGCAGTAGTAGTAGTAGTAGTAGTAGTAGTAGTAGTGGTAGTAGTAGTAGCAGTAGCAGTAAGTGTCGGTGCATGTGTCCATAGATGTGTAGTAGTATGAATAATAAGAAGTGGGGTGGTAAGGGTAACAATAGTAGTAGGAGTAGTCGTAAAAGTTTACAAGTTGTCATGGTATTAGTAGTAGTGGTAGTAGTAGTAATAATAATACTAGTAGTTGCCGTCGCAGTCGTAGTAGGATCTGCTGTTGTAGCAATAGTTTTAAAGTCCGTAGTTTTAGTAGTAGTAGTAGTATTAGTAGTAGGAGTACTAGTACTAGTAGTACTAGTGCTAGTGCTAGTACTAGTAGTAGTAGTAGTAGTAGCAGTAGTAGTAGTAGTAGTAGTAGTACAGGTATTAGTAGTACTGGTAACAGTGCCAGTAATAACAAACAAGCAGTGGTGGTAGTAGTAGTAGTAGTAGTAGCCGTAGTCGTAGTCGCAGCTGCAACGGTAGTAGTAACAATCGTAATCTTCGTAGCAGTAGTCGGAGTACTAGTAGTAGTAGTAGTAGTAGTAGTAGTAGTAGTAGTAGTAGTAGTAGTAGTGGTAGTAGTAGTAGTAGTGGTAGTAACAGTAGTAGCAGTAGTAATGGTAGTAGTATACGTAGTAGTAGTAGTGGTAGTAGTAGTAGTAGTAGTAGTAGTAGCAGTAGTCGTAGTAGTGATAATTGGTAGTAGTAGTAGTAGTAGTAGCACTAGTAATGGTAGTAGTAGTAGTAGCAGTGGTAGTAGTAGTAGTAGTCGTAGTAGTAGTAGTAGTAGTAGTAGTGCTAGTAGTAGTAGTAGTAGTAGTAGTAGTAGTCGTCGTAGTCGTAGTAGTAGTCATAGTAGTACTGGCGGCGGTCCTGGTAGTCGTAGTGGTAGTGGTCGTGGTAGCCGTGGTAGTAGTAGTCGTAGTAGTCGTAGTAGCGGTAGTGTAGTAGGAGTAGTAGTGGTAATAGCAGCAGTAGTCGTAGTAGTAGTAGTAGTAGTAGTACTTGTACTTGTAGTCGTGGTAGTAATGGAAGTAGTTGTAGAAGTAGCAGTAGTAGTCATACCTGCACTGTTAGTACTAGTATGTCTATAGTAGCCGTAGTAGTGGTAGTAGTAGGTAGTAGTAGTAGTAGAAGTAGTTGTTGTAGTAGTGGTCGTCGTCGTCGTCGACGTAGTAGTACTAGTGATATGAACAAGTTCAGCATCAGTTGTGTGAGTAGTGCTGATTGTAGTAGTAGTTGTGTTGGTGGTAGTAGTAGTAGTAGTAATAGCAA